TAAGACAACACAGAGTCACAGATGTTTTCATATTTCGTTCACTAGGATTTATGATGATTATATTAACATTTACTGTAAATGTAAATATTTTAATATGATTTTATATACTTTTATTCTTAATTATTGTACAGTAACATGATTTTATGTGCTTTTAACTTTTCTAGTGACATTACGACTTTGATATTTGTGGGGGATAGACATAACGTTAAATAAAATGACTTGAATTTTTTTTTCCTTATATTTTTTTTGACAAACAATATATAATCAAGAACAACTCGAAACTATGTAACCCGAGGTATCACTGTAACTAAAAAAGCCTAGTTTGGCCCAGGGCATTATAATGCCTGTGATTGCACCAACAACAATCAAAGATGAAAATGATAGCTTAAATAAATCAAGCCATTGTTGTTTTCAAAAATATCTCACAAATGACTTGCTAAAATATTTGAAAACCTGTCCTATTTTTGATAATTTATTTTCTAATTTTCTTTTTTTTTTTCTCCATGCTTGCTGATTTTTATCAAACAGTTCACAAGACATATTGATGTCTCTTTCTACACAGTTTTATTTCTTTCTAAGATTGAATTTCTAATGCAGTCTTCTCTTTACAGCTTTATTCTCAACTGACTTAGCTGTATTAACTGTGATTTTTGTGAACAAGATAGATTCCTGTGTACTTTATGAATTTGAAAGAAGTAAGAAAAGAATCCTCTTTTACTTAGGGTTGCTAAGATAAAATTAATATGTGCTGACGTATCAGAATTATGTCTGTCCTGGGTAAGACAATAAACTACATCCGACAGCAAGGCCTCTGATCAGGTGGTTTTGAGGAGTGTGGAACCACCTCTTAATTGCCGGTGTTCCCAGGTCCACCCTGATCCATGGTGGTAGCACCTCTTAGGGTCCCAGCTATGGGCAAATAGTTAACCCCGTCAAACTGGGGTCAAAACCTATAAAAATAGGTTTTAATACCAGCAATACATTTTTGTACAAAATTATTACCAGCAATACATTTTTGGAAAAAATATTACCAACAATACATTTTTGAAAAACAAATATTTACCACTATTTACATTATTTGGACTATTGTTCTCATCTTTGTTGCTATATTTATCACAACGTTTTGGCTGTTTTACACTCTGGCCTTCCACTGGTGGTTGGAATGTCGAACTGAACCCTTTATTTTGCTCACTGGGGTAGACTGTTCTAGTTCCACATGCCATGTCTAATGGATGTCAGTTAACAGTTATCTCCTGTTAATTCACCTTTCCAAGTTCTCCACTCCTTAACCAAGTATTGAACTCAGAACTCTTTGGGTCCTGTCACTGGATCTAACCAACACCTTTATCCATTGTGCCATGTGTCCTAAATATGGTAACAAAGATGAGGATAATAGTCCGAATAATGTAAATAGTGTATATAATAACTCATCTTGGAAGTATAGATAAATATTCATGAGCAATACATTTTTGGAAAAAATATTACCAGAAATACTTTTTAAAAAAAAAATTTTACCAGCAATAAAAATGTTGTCAGCATTAAATAACCCATTGAGGTTGATATGCCGTATAACAATCCAAACCAAACCAATATATACTGAAATAGATAGATGAAAAATATTCCCAGCAATAAAAATCTTGACAGCATTAAGTAACCCATTGAGGTTGATATGCTGTAAAACAAACCAAACCAAACCAATATATACTGAAGTAGATAGATAATGATAGATAGATAGATAAAAAATATTACCAGAAATAAAAATCTTGTCGGCATTAAATAACTTATTGAGGTTGATATGCCGTAAAACAAACCATGCCAAACCAAACCAGAAAAATGTGGCAGTAATATTCAAAGCAAGAACAAATGGTAGACTTGCATATGACTTACTAAGATAGATTCTGGAGTGAAAAATTGTCTAGTATGATACAGTGAACCAAATTTCCTAGAAGCAAGCTGAGCTATTAATTCAATATAATCACATTACATTTCATGTTAGCAGAGAACATTAGCCTGTGAAGACACAAGTCCCTCTCCTGGAGGTTAGCATCAGCCATGCTAATGGAAGGCAGAAAGGGTTCTCTATGGTAATTAAAAGACTCAATGGACCAACTTTCCTAGCAGTTGAACTAGCAATTGATTCAATATAATCATGTCAGTGGAAAACATTAGCCCAAGCATGTGCAAGGAGTCACTCTCTTGGATGTTAGCATCAGCCATGCTGATGGAAGGCAGAAAGTGTTCTTTCAGATGGTTAATAGAGAACAATTTAATTTTGGAGGCGCTAAAATTAAACAGCCATTCCTTCGTTAAATTAGGACAATGGTTACAAAGAACAGCTACTTATTAGGACTGCTTACACAAGAACAGAAGGAACATTTTTATGCAAATCTCCTTAAAAGGTATAGCTGGTTTTAGACCAAAATTTCTGGTTCCACTCAAACAGAATCCACTATATTTACCGAATTGAGCTTAATTTGTCTTACCTGAAAATAATGCATCTAGTATAGATCGAGCTTGACTTTTATACAATTGTTTGTATATTCAATTCTTTTTATATATATTACTTACTATTTATGACCTTTCCTTTCGATTAAGGTCAAAACAGAGCACCTAGTGAGGATCAAATTCACTACTTTGTAGTAATGATACTAGCTTGTTAAACATTTAATCATAACAAGACACTTGGTGTTTGTGATATAAAATTACATATGCTTTCTGCATAGGCTATATTTATCTCTCTCTCTCTCTCTTTGAGGCACACCCTTTTACAAGGGCACTTGGTGAACTACTGCTCATTGTAACTGATCTGGACCCCCAGCTACAGAGATTCAACTACTTCTCTCTTTCCTTTCCTTTCTTGGGATACAGCAATATTTGGAGTTGAGAGAAGAGTGCCTTTTATAAAATGGAAGTTTCATAGGAAAATCTACTTGCAGATTTTGTGTGTGTGTGTACCAATATATATGTGCAGGCTGTGTAACGGTTATCAGTGCAAGAAGTGGAATTGGTGGGCTGAGTTTAAAATCTGGGCTAGTGTGGACAACAGTGTTTATTTCACACTAACGCCTGAATGGGAAGACCTGAATCTGTTTCTTCTCTCTGTACATATAGATTAAATAACAAGGCAGACTGGCATCAGTAGCCTTGAATGGCAGCCAGGTTAGGACAAGTCTGAATTAAAATCATGGCAATGGGGAAACCACCCATTTTTCTTAAGATGTCATGTCAATGAAAAGGAGTCTGTAGAGAGTCATGATTGCCTACATCGTAAATGGATATAGCATTTAAAAAGTTGTACGTATTTATTTTTTTCTGTGTTCTCTTTTTAGGATATAATGAATGCAAAAATTATCCAAAAGTTTGATTCTGAGCACTTTCTGCTAAAATATTAGCCATTTTGAATGAGTTTTGATATGCTACTATAAATGGTATGTAAGTGCTATTGTAGGGGGTATAAAAGTTACTGAAAGTAGACATATTGTTAATTTCTGAATACAGCCAATACATTGTAGCCATGTTCATAATTGATGTTATTAAGAGTAGGGTTTTTTTTTCTAATAACTTCCATAACTTTTAAATGCATACAAGAAAAATATAATTAAAGAATCCAAACAAAATTACCTTTCAATCTTGTTCAATAAAACTCATTAAAGAGAGATTACTGCCACACACACACACACACACACACACACACACACACACATCGAATGAATGTGAAATATGATTAACCAATGAAAATCTATATCACATTCTTTGATGGAGCTTTAATAAAAGTGAAACATGTTAGATTGATAAACGTTTCTTGTTTGTTCTTTTTCTTATCTCTCTCTCTCTACATATATTATTTCCAAGAGGATATAATCCAGGTAGAGCTCTGTCAGAGCAAGAATATAATATAAAAGGCTCAAACACTAATATTTCATGGTTATAATTTATTACATTGGAATTGTAATCACAATCCAATTCATCAGACCTACAAATTCAGAGGTCCGATGAATTGGGTCATGATTACAATTCCAATGTAATAAGTTATAACCATGAAATATTAGTGTTTGAGCCTTTTATATTATGTGTGTGTGTGTGTGTGTGTGTATTAAGAAATAATTTTGACTAAAAACATCCATTGATTCCTTAGAAATTACTTTGAGATACAAAAAAATGAGCAACTGTGGGCTTTTGAGAAGATTTGAATGAAAGGATGTGCATTCCTTAAAAGCGTAATTGAACCTTGATAGGCTGCCATGTTTTCTGTGGCTGAGCAGTTTATAACACACCAGATAAGAATAGTTTTTCCTCCAAAGAGAGACACAGGTTTGAACTCTATTGGAGAACACATTTTCTTCATCAAATCAGTCAAATGTGCAGGCCAGTCGATGTACTTCACACTGTTTAAAAAAAAAAAAAACATGCGTATTCATATAAGTTGAAGTGCCAAGAAATTCACACATAATATTATCTTGACAAAGCCTCTTCAACATTATTGATCTTTGACTGGTATTTCTTTCATCCTAATTTCAATTGCTTACCAGCATGACTGCCATTCTATAGCTGTAAACAACTTGGATTTGCAATAAAGAATAGTCACAGAACAAGACTCAAATTTCCACCTTTTTTTACCTTGGGAAACTTATGTACAACCTATGACATTTGACCTACTAGAGCTAATATTTAAAGAAAATTAAATGTAATGGCATAAATTGTTTGGGTTTTTCTCAGAAAATATTGATTTCAGTAAATACTGATTGTTTTAAACATTGGAGCAAGGTTTTGCAAAATTGGCTTTAGATAATGAATTGTAATAGAATTTCTTTTTTATTTATTTGAAAAGAAATATGTTCATTGTTGTGTTGCATTTATATTTTTAATTGATATTTCAATAATTCAGCTATCGTTTTTGTAATGGTTCATCATCATCAGAATGTCACTGACAGAATCATCCTATGTCTAATGTAAATGCATTGCAAACTTTGAAGGCGAAGAATTAGTTTCCACACCCCAAGCTCTTTCCCTTTCTCTCTCTCCTTCTCTCTTCCCTCTCTCTCCTTCTTCTCTCTTCCCTCTCTCTCCCCTCTCTCCCCCCTCTCTCCCTCTCTCTCCCCCCCTCTCTCCCTCTCTCCCCCCTCTCTCCCCTCTCTCCCCCCTCTCTCTCCTCTCTCTCTCCCCTCTCTCCCCTCTCTCTCCCCCCTCTCTCTCCCAATCTCTCTCTCCCCTCTCTCCCCTCTCTCTCCCAATCTCTCTCCCCTCTCTCTCCCCCTCTCTCTCCCCCCTCTCTCTTCCCTCTCTCTCCCCCCTCTCTCTTCCTCTCTCTCCCCCTCTCTCTTCCCTCTCTCTCCCCTCTCTCTTCCCTCTCTCTCCCCCCCTCTCTTCCCTCTCTCTATCCCCCCTCTCTCTTCCTCTCTCCCCTCCCCCCCCCTCTTACTCACTGCTCCATTGCTACTTCCATGAAAATATCATTCCTGACAAATCTCTCTCTCCTCTCTCTTCCACTCTCTCTCCTCTCTCTTCCACTCTCTCTCCTCTCTCTTCCACTCTCTCTCCTCTCTCTTCCACTCTCTCTCCTCTCTTCCACTCTCTCTCCTCTCTTCCACTCTCTATTCCACTCTCTCTTCTCTCTCTATTCCACTCTCTCTTCTCTCTCTATTCCACTCTCTCTTCTCTCTCTATTCCACTCTCTCTCTCTTCCACTCCCCTTCTCCTCTCCCACCCCCTCTCTCTCCCTTCCGCTCTTCTCCCCTCTCCCCCACAGGTGGAATATGGCGAGCCAATCACTGCTCTATTGCTACTTCCATGGAAAGTATCATTCCTAACAAATCATGTAATGAAGGTTCGTGTTGAATGGACACACTTTTAGTTCATTCCCCATTAATTTGGGGGTCATTCAGGGATCTATTCTTAGACCTACATTCTTTGTGATCTTCATCAATGACCTTCAGGATATCATCAGTTTCTGACTAGGTATTTATGCTGATAATACAACTATTGTCTCTTGGTTTGAAAAAGTAAAACTGGCAACTGCTCTCAAAAAGGATTTCCGATCAGTTGTCCAAAACAAAACAGCTTTCATTTAATCACCACAGGGAACCTTTTCTGCCTGACATCAACATGACTGATGCTAACCTTCAGGAGAGCAACTCCTTGCATCTTCTTGGGTTCACATGAAGTGAAGTGATTATATTGAATTAATTACCAGGTCTGTTGCTAGAAAAGTTGGTTCACTGTTGTGCCAGACAATTCTTGCACATCTATAAATCTACCATTCCTCCATGCATTGAATATTGCTGCCATATCTGGGCTGATGTTCCTGCTATATATCTCAAGATTCTCACTGATGCCAAAAAAGGGTCTGTAATGTAATCAGCACTGACCTGGCATGTCGATTTCTGTCACTTTCTCACCAACATGACATGGCTTCCTTCTATCTTTTCTACAGGTATTTTCATGCCAACTCTTCTGATGAGCTTTCCTACTTGGTGCCTTGACTGCGCTAATTTAAGCGTGCTACTAGATTGGCAACTAGGTCTCACCATTTTACTGTTGAACTAGTATGCAATCATATGTTCTATTCTAATAGTTTATTTTCTCGCGCTTCTTTCCTGTGGGACTGCTTTCCAATTTCTTTCTTCCCTGCCACCTACAGTTTTCAAAAATTTAAATGCAATGCCAATCACCATATTTATTCTTCCTAAACTTTGTTCGTTTATTGTCCTTACTTCTCTCTAAAGTTTTCTCATTCTCTTTCACTTCCAGTAGACCCCTTTAGGCATTATTACTTTGCTTGAAGTGAAAAGATAAAAAATACAAACATAAAAATATCCACCACAAATTTAAAAATTGAAGCATATATTTGTATAAAACTCTGCCTTGCAAATCTGGTCTATGTAATCACTTTTCATTATTTAAATTAATGAGTCTCTGCGTGTGTGATTCAGTGGCATTTTTTTTTTTTTTTTTTTACGAGAATTCCTATCTGAATAGTTTTATGTACATTTGAAAAGAGAAACGGAAATTGTAATTGTATTAAAATATGTGAAATATCTATAAAATCCTAATCTACTTGTTGAAATAATTCACTTCATAGGAATTTAAGATAATCATCTGTACAGAATTTTGATATAATTTGTTTGTCATTGATATTAAGGTGGTGGTATTTCTGGAATTGACAAGGCAACTTAAAATTCCAGCCAAGGCTCTTCCATTGTCCTTGAACTGGTACCCCTTCGAAAGGGTATAAATCTCTTTTCCTCTCCTTTTGCTATGGTTATATCATGCTTTCTAAGCTTAGTAGGGAACCAATCTTGGAAAAGGAAAACTCCCTTCCAATATATTACGGGCCTGTGGAGCAGGGTCTGGTATATATTTTTTTTATCCTTGTGTCTTACATGTCTTTGGAAAGGCTTGAGCCTGTAGTGGATTGAACAACAAAGAAATAAAAATTTAAAAAAATGTCTTCAATGTGGAATGAAATTACTGTTCCACTTTATTTTGATACTAATGTACCGATGCCATCAAAATTGACGGCAAGAAGGAATGTATTATAAGTAATATGTATTATATTGTAAGTAATTTTCATTTAATCCATGTACAATTTTGTAATTTAAAGTAGTTCATTGTTAATGATTGAACAGCATACAATTTATAAATACCTCAGGAAAGGTATCCATATTTTATCATCATTGTGTATGTATTTGCATACATGCACACACGCTTTTTGTATGCACGCTTTTGTGGCACACCTTGAATGTTCTTGAGAGTCAAATTTACTGAAAAATTAGAACATCATCGCCAGTGACAGTCGATACCGCAATCCAAGACACCTCGAAGAAAATTAACTTTATCTGAAGTTTAATTCAAGTTGAAATAAAATATAAACCTCAGCCAAGTGAAGTGATCTATCTGACATTTATCTCCTCTCTTTATATCTTTCTATTCCCCCTCTTTCTTTCTTTGCTGTTGTGTCTCTTTCTTTTTGTAGCCACTTTCCATCACTCCTTTTGCTTTGATCGTAGATTACAGAGAGGGAAAGAGGAGGGTTGCTTTGTAGCTTGTCAGCGCAGTAGCTTTTTGCAAGTGGATGTGAATGGAGACATGACTTCTATGCATCTCATCAAAATTTTGCACAGTGCCCCCTCAGTTGTTACACACACACAAAAAAAAAAAAAAACTTATTAGATGAAAAATTTGGCAGAAATGTCCCAGTGTAGCACAAGCAACCACTCCCCGAGTGTAAAAGCAAGCCAAGTCTGATTGCCTTTCTGCTTTCTTTTGTTCACAGTACTAAAGATTGTTCCTTTATAAGGAAATTCAGATGTAAGCAGGAAATTTTAGGGATGGGCATGTAATGAGTTTAACTTTCTGTTTGTGCAAAATTAAGCCTGGTTTTAAAATGAGTTTTCAGGAAGGAAATGTAAAATGAAATATTGGTTGGATGTATGTAGAAAATATCTCAAAAAAAAAAAAAAATATATAGTAAATCTATTTAAGCTCAGTGGGTGAACAAACCAGGATGGCACAATTTTCAAACAAATTAACATCCGATGAAAAAAATTTTGGGGGGGAAACCTCCGAACAGGGCAAAAGAAATCATCCAGTACCTTAAATCTCTGGTACAAAGAAAGTAATAAGCAAATAATAAGTTAAAACAAAGAGTGGTCAATACACTAAGTAGAGCAAAAGTAAAATAAATCCTAATGAACCAGGTTCTATCTACCTAGGGATCATCACCCTACTGATCCCATGTGGTGAAACCTGGGTAGGTAGTACCTGGCTCATTAGGATTTATTTTATATATATATATATATATATATATATATATATATATATATATATATATATATATAGTATGATGGATAAATTGTCTTCTAAATTATGCAAAAATGAAAATAACACCGACATTTCATTTTAACAGATACATTTACCACATTTACACAAAAATATCTTAGAATACTCAAGAGTAAATTTATTCAATAAAATCCCCATTGACTTCAACCACAGCCTCCAGACAACTTTGGAATCTTCTGCATCTCTTCTGGATGGTTTCCTTGATTAAGTTGGTGAATGCTGCCATATTCCTAGCCTTCAGTTCGTCTTTGGTGCTACAAGGAGTTTTGTTGGTCTTTCGCTCAACTGCACCTAAAGAAAAAAATTTAGTGTTTCATGAATTTAGAAAAGATGAGAATCCTATTCAGCATTGATCATGTGATTAGAAACATTTAGCCAAGTTTAATTAATGCTTTTTCTTTTACTTCCTATTGTTTTACTGTTTTGTAGCAAGTAAATGTCTTAATTAAATGTATAAACTTAAGTACAGGTATAAAATACAGGTATATGTATAAATATGGCATCTGTCCCCAGTGTATCCAGCCATTTTGACTATCTAAAGATCTGCTTGTTTGGTGTAACTTGGGGGGACATGTAATGCATGCAGGGACACTTTCTCATGGGGGTGCTCAATTGAGTGAGCTTATGTAGTGTGTGGTCATCACATTCACACAAACTGAGTGCGGAGTTTCTGTCTATCTAATACAGGAATTAAAACAAAAATAAAAAACTTGTATCACTTGTCAGTTCCCCTGCCATTCAAATTTGTTGTGCTAACTTTTTGCTTCTTTTACCAAACTGAAAAATTGCCTTGTCCATGTCTGTCAGCTCCCCACTAATCCGGATTTGGTTCCCTATAACGTCTTGCTTTCTTCCCAGAATTAAAATTATCATTAAGATGCTGTGGATGAGATTAAGGTGAGTGTGATGTGAAATGAACATTGGAATAAGTACTAAGTCTCAACTAGAACATTTTGAAGGAACTAAGATGTAAATTTGACCTGTGGCAGGGCAGACTGGGTTCTAGCCTTCATTGGTAACAAGTCTAAGAGAAATACAACTTTGAATTCAAAACTATGGAGAAAGCAAAAGGAACCAGCTCTACTGTATTTTTTTTTCTTTTCTAATAACAGTCCAGGCAATGGAGAGTTCAAATATAAAAAAAAGGAAGCTACGGAGAGCCATGGTCACTCATGTCCTCTCGGGACATGCCACTTAGATAGATGACACCATTATTTTAGGTTGGATATTTTTCTATTCCTATTTAATAGTTCCAATCTTTTCTGGACATCTCTTTGATTAAGGTATTTATTGGAACTTGGGGGAAATTCTATTGATGGTGCCAAGTAGAAGTTAATAATCTGTTAAATTGAATTAGAAATAATTTCTATTTCTGTTTATCAACTTAATTCTTTAAAAAATAAAAGACAATTACACACTATTCATTTATATATTCACCATTATTTGCAATGATTTCTTGCCACTTCTTTGCAGTTCTTTGATAATTTTGAGTAACATTACGAAGATATTGATATGAAAAGGTTTTTGACAAACTCTTGAATAAAGTTGTCCTTTCATTACCATAGATTGCCGGCCTAAATAAAATTGCAATAATGAAATAAAAAAACTGAAATTCCACTGATATTGCTAATTCAGTCACTTATGTGCCATGCCTGTTACACGCTTAAGCGATCATGTATCTTTCGATACATGTCTGATCTGTCAGATTTTTTCCCGCAGTAGGTTGCCATTTCTTTCTGCAGTAGACCAATTGCCATCCAAGTCTATGGAACCCGGTTTGTTCTGCTATTTGCCCATAGCTGGGGTGTGAAGAGAAGAGGATTCATACTTTTCCCAAGGGTATTAACACGTAAGTGAATGTAATGGATTCAAGTGAGATTCGAACTCGGCTCTCTGATTCCTCAATCT